GGAGTCATTTCTGCTTGTTGACTTCCTTACTGGATGATCCGTGGCTGGAGGACCTTTGAAAAGAAGTCGGCCGGAGTGCGAAGCCAAGCCAGCAGATGCGATGTTTAAAAGACCTCCACTTTTTTTTTTTTAAAGCAAAGCCTTTCATTTGTGTCCCGAGGGTCAGGTGGAGCTTGGCAAGGACGTGGACCTGGTGGTGGAGTTCCAGAGCAAGAGCGACACGGCCCAAACGGTCAAAGCGCTGGTGACGTGCGCCGTTATCTTCTACACGGGCGTGCTGTCCAATCGCTTCAAATCGGAGGCCGTGGAGATCACCGTGCCACCCAATAAGAGTGAGTCGCCCCTTTCGATGAGATCAGATCAGAAAGCTCAAGTTGACGACTCGCTTGCAGCCGAGCGCGTGGTGGTGAAGACCAGGGCTCAGGATTACCTGAAGAAGTTGGGCTTCCAGCGCTTCCTGTGCTTCACGCTGGCGGGTCACGGCGACACCGCGTACCTGAACGCCATGAAGGTGGTCTACCTGCAGGCCCCCAACCTCCAGCTCAAGGTAGAGGCCGCTTCTGGACGCGACGCTCCGGCCGAGCGAAACGGGAAGCTGACGCCGGTGCGCTTGCGGCCCCGCAGGTGAGCGGCATTCAAGCGGTCGGACAGGACATGTTTGTCAACGTCTCCTTCGTCAACACCTTCACCTTCCCTCTCCACAACATCACCTTGGCCATAGAGGGCCCCCGAACCATGACCAACAGGAAACGCTTCTACAAGTATGCGCGTCCGCTGCCGTCGGGGCGCGCCTGTGTCTTGACGCGCGCGTGGGTGTGCGTTTCAGCATCCTCCAACCTCAAGCCTCCTTCAACTGGAAGGAATCCTTCATCCCGCAAATAACCGGAAAGCGCACCCTGGTGGCCGTCATGTCCAGTGCCAATCTGTGCGAGGTAAAAACAAAACAAAACAAAAAAAAACACGCTTTGCCGTCAACCGCTTGGGCCCTCTGCTTCAACTTCTCCTTTTTTTCTCTGGCACTTCCCATACCCTTGGCTCAGCAAACATATCGTCCGGAATCCTTCGCGGCAGTCAGATTTCAAGCAGCAGGCCGCCGACAACTATTATGCTCCAGAGTTTTATTGAACAAATCCAATAGTTTGATGAAACAAAGTATCGCTGAGCGCCTGGTCTTACTTTCTTGCGAGGTCTCCCCAAAAAGAGGCTTGCCTCCAGCTGTCCATTTGTCACTCCCATTCGGAGCGGACTCGAAAAGAGAACTGAACATTGCATCATGAAACACGGACATTTTCAAAGTAGCCACATGCTTTTGCTCGCGTAATAAGAAAAGACGTACGAACGAGAATGAGCATCAACTCGATGCTCATTCTGAAACTGAGCAAATAAAGTGAACACGGACACCTTCTCTGGGCTCTGTGGGATTCATTGGGGACCTTCTCTGCCTCTACTTCTTTCTCTGAACTACGCGCCATGTCTTCCAGTCAGGCTCGGGGCTGCCTGGCCTATTTTAGCGCACCGTGGTGCTGCACTCCTGACACACTGAGACTGGCAAGTCCGAAATGTCCGTGCAGGCTTCAAATGAAATCTGACATTTTTTTTTTTTTAAATGACAACAACCCACAATTTTTTTTTTAAGAGAGAGAGAGAGAGAGACTTTCCTTTCACTTTGAGAACAGGTGAATGCCAATGATGTGATTCTCCCATCAGCGTTGGTGTTTGCTTTGTTTGATACATCTGGACGCATCAAGACCCCTTTGTCGTGTCCCCACTTGCATCAACGTCCACATGTTGTCTCTTCTTGCAGATTTGGGGAAAGGTTGACTTCATCGTTGAGGAAAAGCTCAAGGGCGAGGAAGACTGAAGCGGGCCACGTTCGCTTGGATCCGATGAGTCTCTTTCACACAATCACCAAGAATGAACGATGACGGCAAATCCATTTTTGATCAGGCTGCCAATGAGACGGGAATGCCGAGCGTGGCTGCGAGTTTCTGCTTTTTGGGGAGTTCCGATGACGGCTGCTGGAGAAATTGCCTTGTTTTTTGTGTGTGTGTGTGTGTGTGTGTGTCAGCAAAAAGGGCCTCTTTGCTCGGGAGGTTTTCTTTCCCCGCATTGGAGCAAAACAGTCCAATGCGCCGATTTGTCGACATATCTCCTCGACCCTTTCGTTTCAGCTTCTACTCTTCTCCGATTGGCCGCCCTCCAAAACGGAAACGGCCACCCAAATCAATGGCCGTGACCTTTCCAAGGGCGGCGACACTCGACTTGCGCAGCCGAAGAGGAACCGCAGGATTGACCGCAGGAGCTCGTGTCCATCGCTCATCAATCCCACTTGTCACGTTGCTAATCAATCCAACCAGACGATTGTTTCTCTCTTCAGCCATTTGTTGTAGTGCATTCCTCGCTCACCTACTAACAATAAAGCAAAGTCAAAAGCACTCACGGCGTCTGCGAGCACGAGCATCACGATTACCGCTGTCATTTTATATTGACCGTGGCGACCGTCGCGTTGTTCGTCGTGACGTGCGGTGAGCGGTCCCCCGTTTGTCGACATGGGCCCCGACATATCGGTGGCCTCCCTGTGCCCCGAGACCGACTGCGGTGAGGTGAAGCGCCTTTGGAGTGCAACACGGTGCTCCCTAGCGGCCGCACGCGTCACTACACGCGGGGCAGGTCCGAGTTGGGGACGGAGCGGTCTGTCCAAGTGGCAAATCCAGGTCCGGAGAGTCCAAAGTCTGCCACGGTTTGGTCGTGGTATTTGGCTCAAGGCAAAGTGTGGCAGGTTTTCAACACGCTGGACCCGCATTTGGCGATACGCCCCAAGCTTCCGGTTGATGGGCAGCTCGGGGCGGGGGTGGGGAGCGGAGACACGCTTGCCGCTTCTTTAAGCAGCGCACAAGCGCGAGTTGGCCGGCAGGCAAACAAGCACGAGCTCCGAATGACGACGGGAAACCGGTTTTGCGGGGCCCTCCCCCTCTCGCGCCCGCCGGCCGCAGCTGGAGATGTCTGTCGTGTCATCCCGATGCCGCAAACAGGTGGCGCTGTCACGTCAACGCCGCGCTCCGGTGGAGGCCCCAGACGAGTTGGAGGAGGAGCAGGCCAGGGCACGGCGGGGCACATTTTAGACACCCTCCACGTAGCGCACGAGAGAGTGGCAGAGCTTATTCGCGTTCACAGAAACGGACAAAACCGAAAGGAGGCTTTTGTTCCTGAAGAAAAATGAGAGCCATTTGGGAAAGAACAAAAGCAATCGTTTTAGATGGGTCTTTTTTGGAGGAGGGGAGGCGTGGGGGGTCTAAAAAGTGGAAAGTCGGGGCTCTGGAACTTGAAGGCGGCCGTGGACGGGGAGCAATTCCCGGCAGCCGCGAGCTCCTCCCGGCCTCGGTGTGAATGGATGAATCCAGGCCATTGCGGCCGATGCTTGGCTCCTCCGCGACATCTCCGTGGCGACCGGCCAATAAATAACATGGCACACTTTGTGCTGCCGGAGACGCAACTTTGTGTCCTCGCCGCTCGGTCCCAGACGCTTGCCTGGCGGGGGCCGAAGAACTGGCCCGCTCAGAGTTAGCGCGCCTAAGAAAGGAACGCCACGGCCGAAAACCAAACCTTTTGAACGCTTGATTGGCCTCTGGGAGAAAGAGGAGCAAAATTTGTTTGGAATGATGTCACGGGCAAGCGCTCTGTCGAGAAGCAAAGGGGGCACAAAAAGTCGCTTGAAAACAGATTATCGGGCAAGTCAACCTGTTGTGTTGTTTGAAACTGACCCGTTTCCTGCTCTGTTGATCCTCACGCACATCTTCTGTCTGTTGGATGGATGCACATGGAGGACCGAATCCCAATGAACACACATGAGATGGGATTTCTGTGACAAAAACTGGTACAGTCATATTCTCATATTCTCGCCCAGTCCTCAGTCTGTCATCACGAGAAAGAGCAAGAATGACATTGTCAAGTTTGCTCAGTGAAGTCACTTGATTGACAATCACGTCTTGGCTCGCTGGGACGGACGGGGGAAGTCACGCGAACCGCCTCTGAGTGGAGCGCTTCGCATAGAAATGCAAAATGACGAGATTAGCGCCGTCAAGCGGTTCCAAAGGTCGCGACGACGGCCTCATCGCAATCACAATCACAATCGAGCGGCTCAAGCGCGAGGCATGCCGACACACCTTCCCCGTTTCCACCAGTTGGGACTTCCTTGAAGGCATTCGCTTGGCCTGCGCTGGACCAAAATCCACACACCTTCGTGGACACAGTGGACTGCTTTACTTGCTTGAACACTTTTGACTCTTTTTTTTTTTTTTTTGTTTTTTTTAAACAGAGGCTGCAGACCACCAAACCGGGAAGTGAACCACAATCAATTGATGTTTTCTTGCTTTTTCTCCGCTCTCCATTTGAAATCATGTCCCGTTTTTGAATCAGCAAAGGGAAAAATGTTTTGGTTTTTTTTTTCAATCCAATTTTGAGAAAATACAATCTCCAGATTAACCACTGATCAAAATAAAAATGCTTTGCGCCACTGTAATTGGAACATTACAGCGTATCAGAACTACCTTCTGTAATAATAGAGGAAGAAAGAATGAATTGCGTTAACGAGATCGTTTCAATGGGGGTATTATCTTCAATGAATACAGAGAAGTGCATCTTCCTTCTTTTGCATGGTATTTGTTGAACTTTTCTGTATGTGCGCAATGCATCGTGGGAAAAAGTGGGAGGGGCGGAGGAGCCAATTCTTTTCATGTTTTTCTCACCCCATTTTTTTCTGGAAAATATACAGAAGATTTATCAGCATTTTTGGAAAACTGGGTGATTTTTTTTTTTTCAGTGGGGTGGCCCAGTGCCCATCCCCCCTGCATTTGATTTGATCGAGGCCGTCTTTGTTGGCTACTTTTCAAGATGCATTGTGGCACGAAACAAACAAGTCACATCACCACAAAATGACCAAGTCACTCAATTATGAGTGGGGTGTGACTTTGGAGCGCGGCCCTAAACAAACACTGACCTACCTTCATCTTTGTCGTGAACATCAGCGGCGGCCGGCCTTCGTGGAGGAAGCAGGAGGAGGAGGCCTGGAAGGAAGGTGGAAGGCAGCAACGGTGAAAACGTTGAAGCGCAGCGCTCAGACGTTTGCATCATAAATACATCCGCTGCAGTTTAACCAAGAGCGCCGCCCCACTGTCCATGTTGGGAAATTTCTGGATTGGTTACGTTACGTTGATGTCATGACAATTCAATTTTACCACACATACACAACAATCTGGGGCTGTGAATATTGGACGTTAATATTGAAGACTGTCCGCACCACTTCACCAATTTCCGGGACGTATGCACTCGTAACATATCTCAGAGCACAAAGCTTATATCCTAGGACAACCTTATAAGACCCGAGATCGTCGGCTCTTTGTCGTCCTAAAAGGGTGGCAAAAAAAAACAAAAAAACAATTGCCCGATTGTCTTGATGTGTGGACTAAGTCAAGGTTATCACACGCACTAAATGACAGTAGTGAATCAATAAACAAGTTCAATGGGGCATGCTGACAGTCAGATCATCTTGTTTTGGATATTACATGTTTGTATTGAGAAACACTGAAATGATAAAGCAAGTTCAACGTCTACTGCTCCAATTTATAAAGTTGTCTTTGAAGACCATTTCAAGTTAGGCAAATTAATTGCAAACAATGAACAACTAAGTGACAACAATGACTCAGGGAATAAAAGCATAATGGGACATGCAAATATCTGGACTTTATATGTTTAGGTATCGAAGAACAAGTATTTGATATGTGGGATTTCAACAATGACCTTGTTTTCCTTGTTGCCCTGTCAACACACACATACAAAGTCGTTTTTCTACATTCAGGAGCACAGCTCACCTCCCAGGGCTTAAATAATCAGCATTCTCCAATTGAAAGTGGATTTAAATTACTCACAGCTGTGTAAAAGTTGTCAAACAGGAGAAGCTGTGGATTTGGAAGCTACAAGCTAAGCTAAATTGGGCCTGAGCGTTAGCATCTTCCTATTCCACATCCTCTCGCGCAAAGTCTCGCGAGATTTGCACTCCACGGATGCTGCGCTGGCTGGTTTGGGCAAACCCAAGAAACGAGTCGGGCGGGGGGGGGGGGGGGGGAACGGCAGGGGGGGGGAGCGTTTGACGAGAGTCGACTCGTCAAACCACAAAGTTTCAAAGAAGTTGCTGGGCTGCGCGTGCGCGCAAAGGAAGAAGCCTCCCGCGGGCGGGCGCGTGCGCGTGCACAGAGATGCTTGATGGCCACGTCCCCTTGGAGATACACACACACACACACACACACACGTACACACACACATACACACACACAACACGTGATGGGCTTTAGTGTACGGCTTTAGAAACACACACACACACATACACACACACACGGAGGAGGAAGAGGAGGAGAGGCCGACGACTTGAACACACAACAAGCTTCTTCTTCTTCGAGTCTTTTTGACTCGAGTGACTTGCGAGAGATTCGAGCGAGGGAGGGAGGAAGAGGAGGGGGAGGAAAAGGAGGGGGAGGGAGGAAGAGGAGGAGGAGGAGGAGAAGCCGGAGTAAAGTTTGTCCAAGTTTGCACATCCCTTCGGAAACGCCATTTTGATTCGTCTCCTCTTCGGATCAACTTTGCAGCCTCTCCGCCGTCACTGCCTTCATCTTCATCCTCCTCATCCTCTTCATCGTCATCCTCGGCCGCCACGATGTCTCGGCGAAAGCAGCCCAACCCCGACAAAGTCCGCTGTGAGTGTTGCTCTTCTTGTTATTTTTCGGGACACTTGGTTTTGGGCGAGTGTGTGTTGTGTGACTTGTCGGATGCTTGTTGACTTGTTGCCGTGTGCCAAGTCAACTTTAAGATGGCGAGCGAGCACTTTTGCTCCCTCCCCTCGTCGCTTCCTAGTTTGATGCGCATCCAAGCGGTGGAATTCAGCGCGGCTGGCTCCCCTTCCTCCTTCCTTCGTCGCAATTTGAAGCCCATTCGAGCCATTTCGCACTTTCGGAACAAACTTTGGGCAGGGGGCAGTCAGGGGGGGGGGTCGTCGTCGGGAGCCTTTGCCCGCGGGGAGAGTGGCGCGGGTGGGGTCAAAGTGTGCTGGCTGCCGCAGGGGAGCATCCATATCTCGGGTGCACTTTGGTCGGAGCCTCGCTGTTTGCCAGTCAGTTAGTTAGTGGCCATGTGTAAAGCTAGCAGACGCAACCGTCAGGCCAGCGGCAAGCACAGCGCCGGCTTCCTGTCGGCGCCTTCAAAGTAAAGCCACCTGTTGCTTTCGGGCCTGGAGAAACACTCGAACCGTGGCCCGGGCGACTTGTTGAGGGGACTTGAACGTATATTGGGCATGTTTTGGCTTTCGCATAGCATGGATGTCACTCGTCGTGGCTGCTCGGGTTACGTCGTTTCACTCGCATGCGTCATATGACGACGGGCGCTTAGTTTTGCCCAACATCATCCCGTAACAACACCAATATGTTTCCAAGCGCACGTTGGTTCCGAAACGTACCGACGCAAATCACGGAATAGCTTTTCAAGTCCAAATATATGGATGTTGCACCTCTTTCTTCCTGGGCCTCTGTTGTAATTTGGAGGGACGCGCACTGTGCTTCCGCTCACATCGTAGCTAACAGCTGCTGGTTGCACAGTGGTGCGGTGACCTTGCCCAGACAAATTTATCAAGAAAGTCAGCCTCGCTGTCGCGTAAAATTGGTCGAGGCGACGACAAGTCGTCGAATGTCGCCGTTGGGGGCCGAAAACGTCACCTCGGTGGCGCTTTGCTCACTTTTTCGACGCCTCTTCGAGACTTTTTAGCGTCTCCGTTGGCGTGACGCCTGTTGCATCCTCCCCACCCCCCGACCCCAACCGTGTTCCCCACTACCATTTCACGCACGCGCCTATCCCCGTCGTTGACTTTCCACGCTGGTTCGCGCGTGCACGCGACTCTTTCAAGCATCTTGACCGCGGCTAGCGCGTTAGCCGCTTAGCTTAGCTTTGCGCGTAGGAGGATGCTGGCCGTGTATGAGGTGTCATGACGTCACCGCCGTGTCTTATCTGCGTGAGTCAATGATTGACACCTGCAAGAAGTTGGGAAGAACTTTTGGGACCGCCTTCGGGAACTTTGCAGTTAACTTGTTACGACACGACACCGAAATGATGCGCAACCGTGGCGATTGAGGGACTTCTAGTACATTTGTTTTCAAGTTATGTCGTTCAGAAGTTTAGATGTGTTGCAGGAGGGAGGGATGGATGGACCCCGATTTGTGTTTTTGCGGTGCCTGCGGGATGTGATGATGACGATGTAGATGGTGAACATGTGTCCAGATGGTCAAATGACAAATGAAGGGATGCTTCAAATAACACAAGCTAATAATATTTCGGCAAGTCTGCTAATTGTCATTGTAATGGTGATTGAGAGGGAGGTACAACCACCTGCCGGTCATCCAGCGATCATGCGAAGCGTGCGCCACCTTTGCCATCTATTTTCGACCGATACTAACCCAATTCAAAGCATCCTGATGCTGACACAGACTAAAACCTTTTCCAAGTCTTCTGATGCTAAAACACCTGAAGAGATTTGTAGAAGTCACCCCCTGATGTTAATACCCAATGTAGAAGCTCTTCGAATGATGCTAACGTGTTAGCAGACCAGTGAAGAGCCTTCCACTGATGCCGGAACCTGTTAAAAGCCTTCTAGAAGTCCCCCACTGATGTTGAGATGCTTCTCGAATTCTTCCACTGAAGCTAACATATTAGCATTCCGGTGAAGCTCTGATGTCTTGTAGTAAATGCTACTATCCAGTTGGTGTGCATGAAGAGGAAATGCAACTCAGGGAAGCCTGCATTCGAGACTTCATCGACTTATGCCAAAACGTGGAAATGAAAAAAGCCAAACTTTTTACAAGTGGTGCACTCATGTCCCACATTACTTGTGGAATTCCTCCGCCGATGCTAACAGGTTAGCTTCCCCGTCAAGTAAGTCAGCAGAGTTGCGTTCCGCCCCAGGCAGACGCGCATCTGCGCCTCTCGCCGTCTAACTGGCCCATCCACTGCTCTGCGTGTGTGCGCGCACTTTGTCTCTTTTCACATGCGCGCGAGTGGGAGGGAGGAGCGCCAATCAAAACATCAAAGCGCTGGGAATTCCTGGGCGTTGTGGCGACCGGAGGATGCTTCCTCTTGACCGGCCTGGCCGTCATGGCTTCCAAACATGCGGCGTGCACAAAGAGCGTCTTGTGCGCCACCGACGCCTCCTGCATTGTGAGCGCGCGCCTGCATCGCCTGTGGCCACGTTGTTGTTTTGACGACAGCGGATGCTCGCCACGTTCTGACCCTGGTGGCGCTTTATTTGAAAAGAAGCTCCACTTCGGTCACTTGTTCCCACTTGCTCCCCGCGTTGCGTCAAGATGAACTCGGACGTCGTGGAACAATTTGGAACAAGCGGGCGCTCTTTGAAGTCACGATATCGATGACGATACAGGCAGGTGACTTGGGCCGAGAGGCCGAGTGCACTCTGGACTGTTCGCAGGCGACCCGAATACAGTCGAGCGTTGGCGCTCACGTTCACACGAAAGGACCCGTTCATGGAGGCAAACGGGCGAACCCCACACAGGAAGGCTGGAGCCAAGATTCCGACTTATAATAATAACTTTAAGAACTGATGCTTAACCTGTTGATTTTTTTGTGGTTGTTTCTTTTCCCCCCCATCAATCGGACAAAAAACCAAAACCAATTCTAAATTTCCCGGGAATGAAACTGCCATGGCAATCGTTGATTCAGTCACGTTGAACCAATTGAAGTGTTACGTCTCAAACTTTGAGGCGGATACAAACACCGCTCGCCGGCCGGCCGCAAAGAATTCAGCGGGAACGACGACTGTCATTTGAAATTGAAACGAAGGAGGTAACGATGATCCACTGGCCACTCTTTGAGCGGGGACCGGAAACCCCCATACTCGAATATTTCTCTCGCTGCCCTGCGCGTGTGCGCGTTAATGACGTTTCAGTGGGATGCGCGTGTGTCATTGGGGAACAAAGTCAAGCGGCTAATTAAAAGCTTTCACGGTCCCTCTGAGACGCTCACCGTCTCCACATTCAGCTCATGTTAACACACGCACGCACGCATTGATCCACTTGGAGTCTCGTGAGCGCCCCCTACAAGCTCTTTGTCAACCTCTGAAAGGCGCTGACAAAACAAGCGAAGGATAGACGCGAGCCGCCGCTACCGTCTGGTTGTGCGCGCGGCGCTATTTAGAGAGCCGCCTTTTTTTAGATAAGATTAGGTTTCGCCCCCGAGCCCCCCGCCCCCTCCTCCCCAGCGGGTGAGGGAAGATGGCGAGGAGGGAGGGGGAGGAGATAAATGCAAGGTGCAGGCCAAAGTTGAAGACAACATGACTTGCTCGCCGCATCCGCACGCTCGCGCTGCGTTTCCAACTTGCTCCACGCGGCGTGCGCGTGAGCGTTGCAAACGACGAGGAGCGGAGGGGGATTGTCGGGGGTTCAATGCGGGTGGCTGCGCGGGTCCCGTATCGCGACACTTTGGAGCAAACGGCCGGTCGGCGTCCGTCGGCAGCCCGCGCGCTCGCCCTCTCGCGTCTCGAGACCCGTTGCGTAAGCCGCACGCACGTCCGCACGGCGACGGCCGATGCCGGCAGGCTTCCGTTTGGAAGCTTTGAGAAGCCCAAGTCTAAAATATGCCGAACTCTTGTAGCGCCGCCGCTAAAAACTCCCGAGTGCCGAGGCAAAAGTGGCGCGGAAAGGCCAATCGGGAAACAGTGCGGGTCACCCCACGACGTGGGCGCCCTGGCGTTTGCTGTGCTCCTATTTTGGGAAATCTCGGATTGATCCCAGCAACCGAAAGGTTCCGAGCGCTTCCGTTTCCTCCATCAACCTGGGAGCCCAAGCTCCGCCTCTTCCCGTTTCCCTCATCAACACCCCGATGCTGTGAGAGTAGTGAAGGATGAATGACGTTGGCCGTTCCAGCCTGCATAATTATGCATAAGTGGGATTTCGGGGTGGGGGGGG